TTTAACCATTAAACAATAACTTTTTTTTTTTTTGCTGTTGTTATTCTGGCCTTGCCGTTTGTGATTCTGGCTTTTAGCATATACACAAGTGTGCCACACACATATATTTACTGGCTTGGTGATGGGGGACCTCCAAGTTTGGTTTCAGCTGGAGATGAAAACCTTGGGAAGCTGCGTATCCTGTGGGGTTATGCTTATGTTTATCATTTATTTATCTCTCTCTCTCTCTCTCTCTCTATCTCTCTCTCTCTCTCTCTATCAATCATCTTACTCTGGGGGGAAATCATCCTAAATTCAGGCCCAACTTCCTTTCAGATAAACAGGGTAACACACAGCTCTACATATTGAAAGTAATTGCAATTGGCAGTAAATGCAGATTTTCCAGTTTTTCTCAATCACACAAAAGTTGAGAAATGATCTGTTAAATACTTTGAAATTGAGAGAAATCAGATTCCAGATGCTCAGTTCATTCTCATTTGAGCTTCATCCTGCTGAATTATTCAAATTATTGAATCTTTGAATTCATGCACATTCAGTTACTTGAGTTTGGAGGCTAATGCAATTCAAACAATATAACTTGGTAGTCCATACAACCATTTGTATTTTTCTTTTTACAAAAACAGGAAGTCCAAGATGCACCCGGAAGCCTTGCACACATGTCCTACGTAGGGAGCTGCAAAATCTTGGAATTGCTTACCTATTTGATAGATGCTGCAAACGCTGTTGTGGGAAGTTTGTGTCAAGAGCCTTGTCAGGTTATCCTCCAAAAGGGATTCTTCTTTCATGAAATAGGAATCATCATCTTTGAAGAAATCCAGATACGGAAGTCTGAGAAAGGCGTAAAATATGGCAATATTAGGACATTTAAGAGCCCCAAAGAGGGTTTCCAGGGCAAGTCCTCCTTGTCAAAAAAGGAGGAGGAGAAAGAGAAGGTGCAATCTGAAAAGCAGGAAAAATGGGAGATGATAAAAGTGTTGGAGACAGGTTGGGTGAAAGAGAAATTAAAAATATCTCAAAATGATATGAAGGCCTACAGAGAGATGGCGGGGGGAAAACAATTTTGATCAAAATTATTTTGCCATCTTTTTCATTTTAACAACAGCACATTATGTTCAGCCTTGCACTTTACAAAATCAGGAGAAACGGTCATTATGTTTAAGGAAAGTGTGCTGGTCGATCCCACGGTTGCTGTCCCACGGGCTCACGTGGGTTCTCATCCCCCCATCTTCCACGATGCAGGGAAGGGGGCACAGACAGCGGCCAAGAGACCTACTTCATTATTCCCAACGCCGTCCGAGAGGGACCCTTTCTGCCTTGTTTGTCATCCTGAACGATACTCACTCTGTGACGATGTTCATGAAGCCATCAGGCTCGACAGAACTGCTCTGCACAAAACCAACTTGGCCGGTAGTGATATGTCTTCCCACAAACCAAGGCATGCATTTCATAAAATAGCCAACAATTTCAATTTTATCTCCTTTTTGGAAACTAATCTCGTCCGGCACTACGCTTTCATGGCTAACGACTGCGACAGAAAATCCTGCGGCTGGATGACACAGAATTTAGAAGACATCAAACAGGTCCATAACACGTCAGTGATATTAATTTTAGTGCTACAAGAGGTCATTAAACCAACCAGCATAAAAGGGGAGCATACTTCTTGGCCTATAGTATCCCCTGCAAAGTTCATAACCAGAAAAAAAGGCCAGAGGGGAACCCAGGAATAATTTATTACAGGACTAAACAGCTAGAGCTGCCAGCTGTGATGGCTCCCCCAGCTGATATGTGCCTTTCGGAGACTTTCGTGGGTCAGCTTTTTCATGCTGACATCCATAATGCCACTGGCCACCAACAGGAGCCATAAAACCCTGGATTGATATAGCCTGGTCTCCAAGCTTCCCTTTATGATGATGGACTGTATCCACAGAGAGCCCAGGACGGTTTCGCTTTAGGCCTGCGGTCATCCACTGAGCCCACACTGATCATGCTCATGGATGACCTTTGGTGTGACCAGGACAGGAGGAAGGCAACAGTTCTGAGGTTACTTGATCCCCCAGCAGCTCTGGATGCTATTGATCATGGTGTCTTTCTGGATCGCCTCTGAAGGATGGTGGGGGGCACAACTGTGCAGTGGCTCTTGAAGGGAGTGATTTTTGTTGGTATCAAGGTGGAAGAGATGGACCCCCTTTGCTGCCAGGGGCTGCAGGGCTCAAGGCTCCCCCTTAGCCTATTTAGCACCCACATGAGGCCAGGGAGGGGGTTCTCATCCAGTGACACAGTCAGGTACCATCAGATACTCAGCTTACTTCTCAGCCAATGTCTAGAGCAGTGTTTCTCAACCTTGGCAACTGGCTGGGGAATTCTGGGAGTTGAAGTCCACACATCTTAAAGTTGCCAAGGTTGAGAAACATTGTTCTAGAGTATTTTTCCAGCACCTTCTTTAATAGTTGTTTGGTCCATTTCTGGAAACCGTCTCTCCAACAAGGAGCTTTGAACATCCCTCATTTTACGGTCCTTCCTAGCTCTGCATCCAGCGTCCAATGGGCTATTTTCGGGCTCTCCTGCTTGCTTATCTTTTCCCAGAAGCCATTTCATTTGCCTGTCTGAGCCCTTTTTTTCAGAGTATAACCCGTTCAGTCATATCCTCATCCCAGCGAAATCGTGCTGGGGGTTCTTTCTTGGCCATCACTATTGCCACCTGTCCGGGGTCGCCCCAGCCCTTGCCCTTCCACACAGAGGGAGAAAGGGTCGGTGGCCCTCTTTATAATGGCTGATCACAAAATGACTCAAAAGTCCTCGGGGCATCTTGCCCAGCCCTGGATGCAGCTCAGCTCTCACTCAGGGTGCCAAGGGGCAGGGACGGGGTGAGGCACCTGCACCAGAAGGATGTCGGGGCACCAGCCACCCCACCATGTCTGCCAGTTTAAGCCTTTGGCAATATTCAGACATGGGGAGGGGGCGAGGAGCGCCTCAGGCCATTCCAGCTGACCTCACGTGGGCTCTCTGGAGCCCAGGAACTTCAAAGAGGGGGACAATTACAGCAATTATAACTTGAGAATTATTATTAGTAGTAGTGGCAAGAATACTGGTAATATTGCAAGTGTTGATGCCAGATTTTTAATAGTGTGTGAATTAATATAAATATTACTTTGTGAATGGTCTAACGCTTTACGTATTGATATGCTGCAACTCTCACAGCCTGTGTGAGCATTTAATTTCCCTCTGGCCTCACGGCTTCAGGTGAATCTGGTTTATACAGGTGCACATGTCTGCAGGCGGTCCTGAATGCCACTGCTGCGGATAATGAATTTAGTGGCCCAGAAGCTGTCTGGGGAATGTGAATAGCGAGGAAGGAGGAGGCGGAACACGCATTTTTCTCTTTTGCGTTAGAAGCATCAGCTTTTAGCTGGGGGAGTTATACCAGATGAGAGCCAGCTTGGTGCTGTGGGTGAAGGCCATGGACTGCGGGCCGTGGGGAGAAGGACTGTCATTCCCCCAAGCAGCTCAGCAGAGAGGGATCCGAAGGGCTTGGAGGGTGGTGCGGGCAAAGGCAACTGGGCATCACAGCGCAGCGCCAGGCATACTGGGGTGAGACGGAGGTCGAGCGGAGGACTGGCAGCATTTACATGTTACGGTGAAGAGGCGTCTTCAAGTCATGGAAGCAGAAATTAAAAGTCCAGTTTTAACTGTCGTTCCTTACCAGCTTGATCCGTAACTGGAAGTGCAGTTATGCCAGCTAAACCATCGGATGCTGTGTTTGCTTTCAGAAACCACCTACAAGTTCAAGAAAATAATATTCAATAAACCATAAATGGCATCGCTGTAACGCTTTGAAGATAAGCTCAATCACTGGATTGTTTCAGCTCTCATTTTATATAAATAGTTATTACTGTATAACCAATGTAAATGAAACTGCACCAGCTGAAAAAATGTGGGGGGAGAGCAGAATTTACTAAATTTGATTTCCTGACAATTCCTGAGAAAAACAGACATACTGTATAAACGAGAAAAGAACGGGGGGAAGTTCAGAGCACGGGGGGCTCTGAAGCAGCCAACACCCAGAGAAGCAGGAAACAGCACCAAGATTGGGGCCAGCCCTTTGAGGTAGGCCAGGGAGGAAATGGACACCACAGAAATACTAGAACTCTACTGATCTAGGTTGTAGGAACAAAATCTTGAAAGCCTGGTGGTCTCCCTCTTAGAGAGTCCAAGCAGAGTCATTCTGAGTTTCTTTCTACTGCCTTCTCCCCTCCCTGGGCTTAATTCATGCTTGGCTAACAGTCCTCATGACCTTCTTCAAGGTGATGTCTGGGGTCCCCTACCTGCCCTCCTGCAGGTTCTAGACCCAGAACCTGAGTGGACCGTGAGTCTGATGAGTCCTCCTCCATAAAAATGAATGGGTTGCCTTTTGCCTCCCACCCCGTCCCGCAGGGCTGCCCATCTGCTTGTTGGTTCAGGGCTGTCCTGCGAGTGATGGTGTTGAGGGAAGATGGAGAATTTTTTTTTTAAATATAAAGAAAGGCTCCTGGGTGCAACAGCTCCATGATCATGTTGATGTGAGATGCCTGGCTGAGGCCGATGGGCTGTGACTCACGCCATCCTAATAAACGGCCCGCCACTAAAGATGCTCCGTGGGAAGCGTCGCAGAACTGAGCAGACGCCAGGGGTCTGTGGGCCAGGAAGGAGAGCCAGGTGGTGGATTGCAGAAGGCTGGTGGAGTATCCCGATGTCACCCCAGTGGGTTGGATCTCCAAAGGAAGACTAGCACTCCTTTGCTTGGGAAGATGGGAGAGGGAGGCACACCCCTCGACAGGGACCCAGGGGGTCTTCGGCTCCATTGAAAGGGCCAGCAAATAAGGTATTGTACTGTGTAGATATTTTACACAGTTGTCTGGAATGAGACAAATGAGAGCCCATCTTCCACATAACTGGGCATCTGTGTTTCAAGTGAAATTTCAGTTTAAAGCTTTAACATCAATCATTGCAGTATAATTTCTAAGCTTCATCTCATCTAATAATTCAGCATAGGAGAAACAGGCTCCTTGCGCTTCATCTACAGCAAAACATTGATACGGTTCTCCTTCTGGTAGCTGGGAACGAACGAATGAATGAAAGGCTTAAAAGGTACTTTTTTGCAAAAAGCCACATCATAGCTGGCTTTCCCTGGGCTCAAAAGGCGAAGGGGGATCCAACCTCCTTGGCCCGTGGAGGGAGCCCCCCAGAGAACGTCAGGGCTGGGACTAGCCAGGGAAGCTGAAACTGCCATCCTGTCTCCACGAAGTCACCAGGAGTGAGTTACTTGAGGGAGACTGTTTTTGTTCTAAACCAGCAATTCTGTATAAGGAAAACTATTTGGGGGGGGGGTCTTGGCACGTGCATGCTGCCCTTCCAGAGAGAGAGAGAGAAGTTCTTCAGGTACCTACTGATGGAAAGGCACCAGGGGCTCCGAGGTGTCTGTGGTGTGCCCGTCCTGGGCTTGCTCCAGAGCTGCCAATTCCACCTGGCAAATGGTTCTTGGAACATCTGCGCTGACGTTTGCAGGGCAAAACCCAAAATAGGCACCTTAAGGGGGAAAAGCACCACATGAAACAGGGGTAGCATTCTGTGGTCGTTGAAAGATGGACCCAGTTTTGGTTCATCAAGGAGTAATGCCTTACTTTAAATACTACTTGGTGGGAGGGGGGAAGAGAGAGGTCCCATGAGGGAAGTAGCGCTCTTCCCGTGGTAGAGCAGAAATGTATCTTACTTCATGAGAATGACCTTGGGAGACAGGAGGAAGAGCCACAGCCAAGGCAATGGTCAGACAAGGGATATCTCAGCCCTTTAAGATAGTCTAGACCAGGAAACCAAAGCCATGGTACTAACGCTACCTTTATTGTAAGGCTACAGTAACAGAATCTTGCACGTCTGAAAGCGCCTCCCCCTCCCCTGCCTTTACGTTCCAGGGGACGAGGGAGATGAGATGCTGAGATGCTTCCCAGGCCCCCCTTCCTGCTGAGATATCTCCTGTCTGACCGTTGCCCTGGCTGCAGCTCTTCCTCCTGCCTCCCAAGGTCATTCTCGCAGCCTATTACACCCTGTTTTACTTGGTTCTTGCTCCTCAGCGGTGTCCTGGTTTTCTTTCTACGCTGTAAAAACAATCTCGGGAACAGGAGGTACTTTTGGCCTTGTTTTTTGCTGCGTTCTGCACGCTCGCAATACAGAAATTACTTGCTATTAAGAAAACCAAGCTATCACCTAAGCTAAGTGCTGAATTTATAAGCTGGCCACCAGGAAATAAAACAAGATTTGTGACTGCTCAGAGAAAAATGTTTATATGCTGTTGAGGTGTCCACAGGTTATGGTCAAAAAAGTCAAGGTAATGGCCACAGTGACGTGACCCACACTCCACCTGCATTTTATACGCGCTGTGGACAGAGCTTTGATTGCCCTGTTGCAGCCACCATCTCCACTTTTTTTACCGCAGCCTGCGGGCACCTCTGCTGCATTCAGTTAAACTGAAGGATAGTTTCCCCTACAGGGTAAATATTTGGTCACTCAACCTTACTGCTCTTCTTAAATCAACCCATGCTGATTTCTTGCTGCCATTATTAAAAAAAATTATCAATCCAAAACACGCTGTGGATATCTGATTTGCCAATGTTCTGGAGGCTGGCCATGACCTCCCTGCGCCCCAACCAGCTCCTGTCTCCGTCTTCCTCACTTACCAATACCCCTCCATTTCGTAGTCCTAACAGCCAACCTGTCCTTAGGCAGTTGGTCAGACTTGTACCTGAGGGGCCCAGGAAGGGCAGATTCTTCCCCTGCAAAGACTCACTGAAAGGGCCCATCATTTCTCAAGGGGGCAGAAGACTCATCTCTGCCCATGAAGAACCAGTGATGGGGAAGGAGCAAAAAGGACTGCAGTCTGGGGCAACAGATTCTCTCTGAAGGCACGGGCTGATCAAGGATTATGAAAAACAGCCAAAGACTGAGCTCTGGCTACTGAAATGTTAGGCTGGGCCTGGCTGGGTGGACAGACATGGGTTGCATAAAGCTCGCTTTTACTATTCTGTAGGAGAGGTGTCAGGCTCAGTTAATGACTGGAAGATTCCAGTCCAGCTGGTGGACTGGAGGGCAGGAATGCCAAGAATGTAAACAGACAACGGGAAGGCAAGAGAGAAGGGGAAATCCAGAACTTCTCTTCTGATAGGGTAGCGTGGAGGGCTTGGGGGAGGACTGGGTGTAAATTCTGATCTGGAATTTCTGCTTACTCAGCTATCTTAGATGGCTACTATTTCTTGGAATACAACAAGAATATAGCTCATCAACTGGTTGGTCCTTGTTTCTGTGGGAGTCCAACAGCAAGCAGCTTTTTTAGTAGCAGGAAGGAGGTTTATTTCTTTTATTTTTTGCAGCTTCCCCCTGGTGATGAAGAGAGACAAAGCAAAGCTGCCAACGGCAGAAGAGAACAGCTCCCCATTTAATTTTTTATGGGCAAAGGAAAACATTTTGAATACTCAGGGGAGGTTTTCCATCTGTTCATTAGCCAGAAAGACTGGCCTTAATTGCAAGACGGAACCTTGACGGAAGTTGGAAAGCAGCATTTAATATCAATATAGAAGTCAAAGAATACTGGAGACAATCTTGCAAAAATAAGCCCTTATCCTTCATGGTGAATGGGGGTGGGGGGTGAGGAAATAAAGACTGATCAATAGCCCCTCCATGGCTTTTCACTGATTAGGAGCCTTGCTATATTTTGTGCTCATTACAATTTCTGGACACATTTTTTAAGGTTAGCGTCACAGAGAACACGCTGTCATAGTTAAGATAGGGTGTAACCACGATGTGGATAACTGTTGCCCAGTCCAACCAGGTGTGGATGTAACTCCCCAAAAAATGCCTTTCCCCTCGGCTGCCAGTTCTGAGTCTAGGCACAGCCGAGGCTCCAGGAAGTTTCCCAAGAGAGAACAGGCAAAAGTAAGCAAGCCGATGCAGAAAAGGCTTTTGACGATTTGAACTGGGCTTTCTTGCTTAAGGCTTTGGAAGACATGAACTTTGGGGAGAATTTTATAAAATGGGTGAAATTGATTTATACTGCTCAGACAGCACAAATAATCATTAATGGAGATTTAACTAAACCCTGTGAGATACAAAAAGGAACAAGACAAGGCTGCCCACTCTCTCCTCTTTTGTTTTAGTTCTTGGAATATTGAATAGAGACAAAAGACAAGATGAGAGGATCATGGGTGTAAAGATTAAAAACGAATCATGTAAGTTAA